GTTTGACTATGCTATAAATCTTACTGGAATAAACTATTTAACTAGCACATTGTATCTGTTTTACTGAGTGTAAACTACAACAACGTTTATCTCACATATTTGCCTGCCTGCCTGACTGCCGTGCAGGTTCTGCTAGGGTGTATATCCCTAACACTGGTTATGGGCCCAGCTGCACAGTCAGACTAACCAGGATATAACAGGCTTATATAAAGTGAGAGTTTGTGTAGTTACACAATACTGTAAACAGACAGCTGTGTTTTATTAATTATAGTTTAATATCCAGAAAAAGATGGCACAAGTCAATTTACAAAGTTTGTCTCTAATATCCAAACTGGATGGAACAAACTATGTTTCATGGTCTATGAAATGCAGCCTACTTCTACGAAGAGAAGGTTTGTGGAGTATAATTCAAAACCCACCAGAGGTAGATGCTTGGGATCCGGAGGATGAGAATGATGCCCAGAAAATACAAGAATATAAACTGAAGAATAAGCAAGCTCTCTGTATAATAGGACTGACACTCTGTGACCAGCAGCTTGTACATATTCATGGAGAAGAAACAGCTGCGAAATGTTGGGAGAATTTAAAGAAGATTTATGTTCGAGACAGTGTAGGAGCACATATAAATCTTACACGAAAGCTGTTCAGAACACATCTTCAAAAGAATGGAGACATGTTGAATCATATAAACACTATGAAGAGTCTTTTTCAGGAACTGCATGAAAAAGAACTTATCTTCACAGAACTCCATCAGGTTTATATAATTTTGTCTTCGTTAGATGAGAGTTATGATGACTATGTAACTTCACTTGAAGTATTGCCAAAAGATAACCTCACATTAACTGACATTACTGGCAGATTAATTGAAGAAGCCAGGAGAAGGCTTGAAAGGGATCAACTCAGAAGGGAACAACCAACACAAGAAGATAAAGAATCTACGACAGCCTATACAATTAGAAAATGTTTTAATTGTGGAGGAAAAGGACATTTGGCTAGATTCTGCAAGAAAGGAAAACGCAACAATGCCAGCCAGAATGCTAAAAGGCATCAAAAGGATAAAAAATGCATAGAGTTAGCCATGTATAGCAACGAAACTGTGAATAATAATTTATGGGTTGTAGATAGTGGAGCATCGCACTGCATAACGAAAGATAAGAAAAGATTTGTTAAGATGTCCACAAGTTCACAGCAGATATCGTTAGCTAATGGCTGGAAAATTAAAGCAAAAGGTGAAGGTATTGCACATTGTTCTTGCATAAAAGAAAATGTAAAAATGTTATATGTACCAAAACTTAAGTTTAATTTGCTTTCGGTTAGAGTTTTGATTAAACTAGGTTATGTAGTTACCTTTAGGGGAGAAAACTGCATAATAGAAAAAGAAGGTAAAAATGTGAATGCAACTTTAAAAGGTGAATTGTATGTGTTAAATGATAATTCATTAGAGGTAGCTAACACAGTATATAATAACGTTAAACCTCATGATGAATGCATATGTTTGTTACACAGACGTTTAGGGCATATAAATTTTAAAATGCTCAAGCAAATGGTTGTACTGTCTGAAGGTATAAAACTGAAGCCTTGCAGTAAGTATTTACACTGCAATGCGTGCAGTCAAGAAAAAAGCAAGGCAATACCAGCAAATAGAATAAATGGATTTAAAACAAAGGAACCTCTAGAGGTCGTATTTGCTGATATTATAGGTCCTAAAAAACCAAGTGTGGGAGGTGCTTGTTATACATTAAGTATAATGGATCATTATTCCAGATATGGTTTCTGTTATTTAATGAAGAGTAAAACGGAAACATATCAGAATTTCTTTAATTGGTTGAAGTTTGCTGAAAGAAAAACTAAAAGTAAACTAGTAACTCTTGTAACTGATAATGGTACGGAATTTATAAACAATAAATTCCAAAATAGACTGAAGATGGCAGGTGTTGAACATAAAAAGTCTGCACCATAAAGGCCACAACATAATTCCTTTATAGAAAGACGAGGCCAAACAATACAGGCAATGGCTCGTACTATGTTGTCGGATTCAGGATTACCTGAAACTTTGTGGGGAGAAGCAATAATGTGTGGTAATCATATATTGAATAATGTTGTTAACTCAACAACAGGTGAATTACCATTCACACGGTGGCATGGTAGAAAACCTGACCTAAGCTACATGCACACATTTGGAGCACCAGCATGGGTGCATATTCCTACACAACTGAGACATAAGGGGCAGCATAGGGCTAAAAAGTTATTCTTTGTAGGTTATCAATCTAATCACAAATCATACAGATTCTGGGAAAAAGATACACCTAGAGTTTACTGTAGTGCTAGTGCAAAATTCCTAGAACATGTAGGATGGGAAAAACTGGAACAAGATTCAAGTAAGGATATAATTATAGAAACCTACAAAAGACCAAAATGAGAAATCAGTAATAAAAAGAGTACAATTAAAGAGGAAGTACAGGAAGAGCACATAGGACCAGAAGAGGAAGAAATAGGTGAACAGGAAGAAATAGATAACCAGAAACAGGTAGTACATGAAAGTCCACCTGTAAGCCCTGTAATACCTAGACGTTCAACACGTGAAACCAGACCACCTGACAGGTACCAAGCAAGTTTAGTTTGCCAAGTTAGTAAAGTTCCAACTACTGTTGAAGAACTTAAAATGTATCCAGCAAAGGAACAAGAAAATTGGCAAAAAGCAATGGAGAAATAATTAAACTCATTAAAACAAATGGAAGTATATGAAAATGTAAAATTACCTCCAGGAGAAAAGTCCATTGGCTGTAAATGGATATTTAAATTAAAAACAGGTAAAAATGGGACTGTTACCCATAAGGCTAGGTTGGTAGCTCAAGGATTTAATCAAACTGCATGTGATTATGATGAAGTATTTGCACCTAGTCTAAAAGCAACAACCTTGAGAGCAGCTTTAGTGTGGGCAGCTAAGAAGAATTATATTATAAATCACTTAGATGTAGAAACTGCCTATCTGCATGCACCATTGCAGCACACTATATACTTAAAGAAACCTGTAGGAATCAAGGATGATAAAACTAATAATGATTGTTGGAAACTTAAAAAGAGTCTCTATGGATTAAAACAATCTGGTTACGAAGAACCAATATATTGTTAAGGAGTTAAACAATATAGGGTTTAAAGCAGGTTTAGCTGATCCATGTGTATTTAAAAGAGAGAAAAATGGAATAGTGTCATTATTGTTGTTTACAGATGATATTGCTTTAATTACAAAAACTAATAAGCTACTGAAATAATATTATTAGGTAAGAGGATAAAATTAAAGCAATTAGGAGAGATAAAACAGTATCTCGGATTGACAATAAATAAAACCAAAAGTGGCTATAAGATATCTCAAGAGGATAAGATTTATCAATTACTAAAAACATACAAAATGGAACTTTGTAAACCGGCTAAAACTCCAATGAGTCAGGAATTTGGCCACACTGATGCTCAAAGTCCAAAATTCGATAAGACTATTTATCAATCACTAATTGGTAGTTTATCGTACATTAGTAATTGGTCAAGGCCAGATATTGCGTATAGCGTTAATCAATTGGCACGATTCAACGCTGAACCCACTGAACAACACTGGCAAGCAGCAAAACGTATATTAAGGTATCTTAAAAGGACAATGCACTATGCATTGTATTTGGAGCCAAAAGATGATCTGATTTTAAGTGCATATGCTGATGCAAGTTTTGCAACAGACATAAACACTAGGAAATCAACTTCAGGTACGGCTATACTATTAGGTAAAGCACTGATTGGTTGGAGGTCAATTAGACAGCAACACATAAGTATGTCCACAATGGAAGCAGAATTTTCATGTCAATCTTTATTATGTACTGATTTAATTCTGTATAAACAGTTGTTATTGGATATGGGAATAACTGTTAATGATTCCATTGTAGTTTATGAGGACAATCAAGCAGCCATATGGTTGGCTACAAATATTGCTGTGAAAACGAGATCTAAGCATACAGATCTTAGATATCTGAATGTAAGACAATCTGTAAAAAATGGTTTAATAAGATTGGAATATTGCATGACTGAAGAAAATATTGCTGATCAATTTACAAAAGCCCAAGGTTCAGTCAAACATAAAGTTGTGACAACTATGGTTTGAAGTTGTAAATAGATATATATATATATTATATTACCCAAAAGGGGAGAATGTTAGGAATAACATGGTTACCTAACTTAGTTTGGGTAAAATAATATATATAGACTATGATAGAGTGTGTCACTTTAAATGCAAAGCATGTAATTTTGGGTGCGGCTGTAAATCGCCATAAGAGGGAGCAAGAGAACCTGAATTATTTACTGGTTTACTGGATTGCTTGCTGACAATGATGGATAGTTAACTGCGTGTTTCCTGCTACTGTTGCTGAAGGAAGAAAAGAGGTTTTAACTTCTTCATATCTCTACTGCGAAGAGATATATTGCTGGACTGATTTTGTAAGTTTACTGACCTCTTTTTCAACACTGGACTTTTCAACTGATTAATCCCCGGACGGACTGAACTAGTGTATGATATATGGACTGTTTGACTATGCTATAAATCTTACTGGAATAAACTATTTAACTAGCACATTGTATCTGTTTTACTGAGTGTAAACTACAACGTTTATCTCACATATTTGCCTGCCTGCCTGACTGCCGTGCAGGTTCTGCTAGGGTGTATATCCCTAACAGTCCACCCATCTTCAAGTTACCTAGTTGAGCAACCCTGTCAACCAAGGAGTGGCTTAGTGACTTGTAAGGGGAACCGCCAGCCTTTCCCGAGTGAGCCTCAACCTCACGCCACAAGGGCCTTATGTATCATGCTGCATTGGGGGGGGGGGGGGGTCCCCAGGATGGGTTATTTTCTCCTTTGAAAATGGAGGCCCAGGCGAAGGCCAATAGCGAGATGGGGCGGCCTATCCATTTAATAAATCCATATCCTCACGCTGATCTACTCTTCCTGTTCTTTCGCCATTTAGCAAGCCAGCATTATTATCAGCAGTGGAGCATTGATGACAGCCAGATCTGCAGCCTGGATATGTCCACCTACACCATCGAGGAACTGGAGAACATCACATCTGAATACACCCTCAAAAACCCAGTGAGTCAGGGCTGCCTTGGGCTTTCTTCCGCAAGGACACACAGTCCTCGCTTAGGGACTGTTCAAAGTTGCAATGGCACCGGCGGGGGGGGGGGGGGGGGGGAAAAAAGACCCAGGACCATTTTTCCCACTTAACAGCTGTTGCAGCACAGTCACGCACAATCAAAATTCGGACTCTGGGGCAAACTGACTCATATTTATGATGGTTGCAGCGTCACTTGATCCCTTTGTGCATCTGTCTTGACAAGCAAAAGTCAATGGGGAAGCCAGATTCACTTAATGACTGGCGATTCCCTTCACAACCACAACAAAAAAAGAGGTGAAATCAGGAGCCCTTTGCTGAACGACACATCCCTTAGTGACTAGAAGTTCTGGTCCTAATTCTGGCCATAAGTCAAGGACTCTTTGAGGCAAGCATCCTCTGAAACTCCTTCCCCGAACCTCTCACGAGGCAGTTTAATAGCATCGCTCGTTCCTGTCCATTCCATCATCTTTGATGAGAGTTAGGTGTGAGTCCAAAACTTGTGGGACTTCCTTCCACCCACGGCAGGATGCTGTTGTGGCAATCTAGAGATCGGCCCAAGTTCCTTGCAGGTACAACATGAAGGATTTCTTCCCCTCTTGAGGTCAACTCTTGACAGTGTGCCATCGCTACGTCTTCAGATCAGGCATCCCAAGGCATGGGGTTTGGGGCTGATCTTTAACTGATTTTGTGGCCTCTATGCTGGACTCCAGTCCCATCCTCCCCAACCAGCCTTAGATTCTGCCAGGAACTGTTCAGCCTGACTCCCCACTCCATGTTCCTGGGCCCAGAAAATCTTCTATGGCAGGGGTCTCCAGACTTGGCCATTTTATGATTTGTGGACTTCAACTCCCAGAATTCCCCAGCCAAGTCTCCCCCCCCCCCCCCCCCTTTGTGAAGTCAAGATATATTACGCTTACTGCATACCCACCATCTCTTAAGAAAGATACCATACATTGCTGGCTGGGGAATTCTGGAAGTTGAAGTCCATAAGTCATAAACTGGCCAAGGTTGGAGGCCCCTGTTTTAGGGAGCATCTTCCATAGCTCAACCCTTCCTGTTTTCTTCTGCTTTGCCAATAAAAGGACACCTTCATGGTTGCTGTGTCTTTCACCACGGGGAAAATCCTCTACATCTCCAACCAGGTGGCCTTCATCCTGTGTTGCAAGAGAGAGGTCTTCAAGGGGGTGAAGTTTGCAGAGTTTTTGGCCCCCCAAGACGTCAGCATCTTCTACGGATCCACAGCTCCGTACCACCTGCCCTCCTGGGGCGCCTGCCCCTCTGCCAGTAAGTGGGCGATCGCTGGCGAGCTTGTGAGGAGTGGACTTTTGAAGTCTACCCATCTTTGAAGCGTTGCTATCGAGACAGGCCTGGTGGCCAGAGGGACAATAGAGCGGGTGGACTTGTTAGTCCTCCTTTTATGGTATCCAAGACCTCTAGGAGAGTTGGACTAGTGGTTAAGGCGCCAGGTTAGGAAGGAAGAAACTGGGAGTTCTAGTTCCTGCATAGCTGTGAAAGCTGGCTGGGTGACTTTGGGCGAGTCACGAGGAGATGGTGAGTTCTAGTTCCACCTTAGGCATGAAAGCCAGCTAGGTGAGCTTGGACCAATCACTCTCTTTCAGCCCAACCTACATCACAGGGTTGTTGCTGATGTAGGAAAAATAGGAGGAAGCAATATTAGGTATATTGGTTGTCTTTGAGTTATTAAAATACAGGTAGTTCTCGTCTTACAACAGTCTGTTTAGTGACCGTTCAGAGTTACAACGGCATTGAAAAAAGTGACTTGTGACTGTTTTTCACACTTAATGACCGATGGGGCATTCCCACGGGTCTTGTGATCCAAATTCAGACACTTGGCAACTGACTCCTATTTACGACGGTTGTAATGTCCTCGTGTCACATGGTCGCCTTTTGTGACCTTTGGACAAGCCAAGTCCCTAGGGAAGCCAGATTAATTTAACGATTGTGTGACTCGCTCAATGACTGCGGTGATTCACTGAACAACTGTGGCAAGAGTCGTTCAAATGGGCAAAAGTCACTTAACAAATGTCTCCCTTAGTGACAAATTTTGGGTGCTCAATCGTGGTCGTAAGCCAAGGACTCTGTGTAATAAAGGCAATATTAAAAGTTTGAAAATCTCAAACTGTGTTGGACTTGAAACTCTGCCTTAAAGCTGCTCGTCGGACGAGACTTGAGGCCAGAGCAAGGAATTCAGGGGGGAAAAAGCCCCCCTTTTTTTCAATTTCTCAGGCCAAAGGGGTGTTTGACTGCCGGCCGCAATTTTCTCTCTCCCTTTCTTAAACTGCAGCCGCCATGGACTACACCCAAGAGAAATCCGTCTTTTGCCGCATCAGGTGAGCTGCAGTGCCCCAGGGCAGGATTGGAACTTGGCCCTTCCTAAGGCCGAATAATCCTCCCCCCCCTCCCCATTTGTCTTTTGCATCCAAAGCCTGGCCTGGCCTTAAAAAAACGAGCCTCATTACGAACCAGCTAACTCAGGTGTCAGCAACCTGTGGCTCCGGAGCCGCATGCAGCTCTTTGGGCCCACTGCCTACTACTGGCTGCCCCGCCTCATTGCCCTCCCCTCCCAGTCATTCCTCACCTGGCCTGAGAAGACAGAAATGGCCTGAGAAGACAAAAACAGAAATGAGAGGGATGGGGACAGAGAGAGAGAGAGACCCATTTCCCACAGAAAATGCCAGGAGCCACAAAACCCGGGTAGGCGTGGTGTCTGTGTGTGTGGGCGTGGCATTGGGTGACTTGGTGGGCATGGCATTGAGTTGGCCACACCTACCCAGGTTTTGTGGCTCCCTGTGTTTTGTTCTCTGTGGGAAAACTGGTCCAAATGGCTCTTTTGAGTGTTTTGAAGGTTGCAGAAAAGACTTAGAAAGAGATCCCGGAATCCCCCTGGGGAAGGGAGATCCCTGTGGGGAGAAGGTGGAGCCCTCCCCCGCCCCTGGGAAGGAGGGAGGGGCTAGAAACCCCCCTCCCTTTTCTTGCTCTGCCACTTGTCCTGGTCTCCTTTGGCCTTTGGTCTTATTGCAGGCGTTTGTTTCTCAGCGGAGGCCATGCCAGAGGATGGGAGCTGCGCTACTACCCTTTCCGGCTGACCCCTTACCTGACCAAGGTGCGGGATTCGGACAGCTCCGAGGGTCACCCCTGCTGCCTGATCATCGCCGAGCGCATCCATTCGGGCTATGAAGGTAAGAGCCTGGAATGTATGTATGCCTGTGTGGGGTATGTGTGTCTCCCTTGGGCAGCCCAGAGGGGATAACAGAGGAGTGGTGCCCCGCACTGTTCAGGATTCCTGGCAGGGGTGGAAGTTCGGTCCCCAGGGATGGCCTGGCTGGGTTTTTCTGCCCTTTTCCTCGAAAATTCCATTTTACTAGTTGGGAGCAACGCCTCCGGATCTTACGAGAGCAGTTGGGTATCGGATCTTGGTGGAATCTTTTAAGAGCAGGGGGTCTTCAAACTTAACAGCTTTAAGACTGGTGGACTTCAACTCCCAGAATTCCTGAGCTAACATGACTGGAGGAGGAATTCTGGGAGTTGGAAGTCCCTTGTTTAAGAGGCTTGGCCTGGTTTTGAAACTTTTCACTCAGCTGGTTTTTTAATTTTTAAAAAAATTTGGCTAGTTTTAAACGTTGAACTGCTTTCCGGTGCATTTTTTTTAAACTGCCTGTAAGCCACCCAGAGTTGCCTTATGGGAGAGACGGGCGGCGTATAGAAGGAAGAAGGGGAAAAACAAGAAGGAAGGATAATGGGAGGGAGGGAGGAAGGGAAGGAAGGAGGGAGGGGGGAAGGAAGCAAAGAAAAACAGGATGATAATGAGAGGGGAGGGAGGGAGGAAGGAAGAAGGGGAGAATGGGAGGGAGCAAAAGAGGAAGGAAGACACAGAGTGAGCGAAGAAGGGAGGGAAAGGAACGAGAAGGAGAATGGAAGGAAGGAAAAGAAGGAGTGAGCAAAAAAATGGAAGGAAGGAGAAGAGGAGGGAGGAAAAGAGGAAGGAAGGAAAAGAGGGAGTGAGCGAAGAAAGGAGTGAAGGAAGGACAGGAAGGCTTTACCCCCTGCTGCCTTGGTGTAGGCCAGAGGTCTCCAAACTTGGCAACTTTAAGACTTGTGGAATTCTGGGAGTTGAAGTGCACAAGTCTTAAGGTTGCCAAGTTTGGGGACCCCTGGTGTAGGCAGAGCATATGCAAAGTGAAAGGTACCTGATTTAGAAGAAAGACAGATTATTAACCTTTCCTTCCATGCAGAAAACCAGCAGGTCTGGGAGAAAGGGTAAAAACATGCTGTCTTTTTAACATGCAGGGAAATATCTCTTTTTTAAAAGGCAATTTAAAAAAAGCCATTTCTAAATTGGGTAGGATAGACAAAGGCACAGCTTTTTTCAGCAAATGAAAAGGGGAAAATTGGCACATGTTGTACATGGTTAGGAGGAAGTTGGGGTGCTCTGAGCGAATTGTCTTAATCTGTGCTTTCAATTTTTCACTTCCAGCCCCCAGGATTCCTCCCAATAAACAAATCTTCACCACCAGACACACCCCCAGCTGCTTGTTTCAAGACGTGGATGAGCGGTAAGGACTCTGAGGGTCCCCGGTTAGTGGCGGTCGAGGGTTCTTGGGGGCAGACTGGGCTCCCTGATCCAAGTCGCCTGATAGAAAAGGAGGAGTTTTGGGTCAGTTACCTGGGGGGTGGGGTGGGGGGGGCTCCCTTTGCTAGTTTTAGGATATAGATAGTCCTCAACATATGAATGATCGCTTAATAGTTTGGTCTAGTGGTTAAGGCACCGGACAAGAAACCAGGAGGCTGTGAGTTCTAGTCTGGCCTTCAGCACGAAAGCTGACTGGGCCCATAACCAGGACAGAGTAAGTTCTACTCCTGCCTTAGGAAAGCTGGCTGGGTGACTTTGGGCCAATCACTCTCATACCGACCAGCCCTCCTGACAGTGGCCTCTTCTCTCCTCCTCAGAGCTGCCCCCCTGCTTGGCTACCTCCCCCAGGACCTGGTTGGGTCCCCTGTCCTTTTCTACTTGCATCCTGAGGACCGACCTCTTATGCTGGCCATACACAAGAAAAGTAAGTATACCGGGGGGGGGGGGGGGGGGGGG